CAACTTTCTTCTGGCATTACTTTTCCATACATCGCCCTTTTCATATTTCCCTCTAAATATGCATCGCAATCGTCATGCTGATGAGATCCACTTGCTAAACCGAACAAAAACGTTTGCGATTTAATGGACCGAAATGTGTTATCTCTTTATTTCGCTTTGGTGATTCTTCCTCCCCAATATTCCCCGTATCCCGTCTGACTTCTTCCTAATATCCCAACGCGCTTTGAACGAGGAAACCGCCAGCGACTTTGCTAGTGTTTGGTTTTTCAAGTTGTAATCTTGCCACATCCAGAGGTCAACCTAATCGTAAAGATAATGAAATACGAGAGAAATTTTCGCTTCAAATTAACGAATTTCCTCATTTTACTTATTTTCGCATAACAACTTGGCAAGTATGACGTTAAAATCCTGGATCTACTTAATAAGATTTTGATTCTGAAAAGATTAATGCTGAAAATTATCTTTTCACCTTTTTCAGTTTTAACAAATGACGACGGGGATTTGAATAGTCCGGCCGGTTCGGCGCGAGCCAGTGGCTCAAGCTCTAGTCAAATGAGTGGAGCAGCATGTACGAGGGCTTATTCTTTGACTGGTCAGTGAAAGATATTCATTTTTCACGGATTTCTAGTAAATGTCTTTTTGAAATGGTGCCCATCTATTGGACAAATGATAGCTGATACTAACTGAAATTAGATCGACAGCTCGACTTGGCTAGGAGGACAGCCAACTCCTTCACGAACATTAATTCGTTCCTGCGGTAAATTAGCACTGCGGTGCTCCAGAAGATGAGATGAGGACTATTATTATCTTGCTTGTAACCTTCAGAAAAGGTTACCACTGCCGGCTTTTGCCAGAAGACGGTTGATGTTGGCATTTGCTACTACTCGGACTACTTCCGATAACGAATGAACTCGAAGGGGATTTTGTCTTTCGATTTTACTAAGTTCTTTAGAACTGTAGCGAGCTGTTTTTTGATAATTTATACGACTGCGCATTTTTACCCCGTTGTTCTGGTTATTTAAGATTAAGGGAAAAATATAAGAAAGAATGATGAAAAACATGAAAAGAATTATATCAACCTGGATAATGTGGGAAAATAATGCTTTATAGGAAGAACGGTTGCGCATGATGAAACAAGCTCAGCACGTATGAGAAGCAGGATTGAGAAGAAAAGGAGCTATACGACATCAATTCTGGTCTCACCGCATCCCGACCGAAAGCTACTTCTGCCACAGAAACAGCGTTCCATGGAGGAAAGGAAGCCGATAAGCATTTGTTCCGGTGATGTTACTGTCGATGTCGCAAAGGTTTGTTCTATCTTGGTCTTGCCCACGGGAAATTTTTATTATTTAATAGTTAGTGTTTGCTTCTTGCGATAAGGAACATAGCGGATATACCTTCTTGAGCTACGCTGATACCAAAATTGCTGATTTCGAGCTGAGATACCCAGTGATTTACTCTAAGATGAGCAGCAAACATATGCGGAGGGATACTACCATACTACAATTCCTTGAGCTGTTGTTTCATCATCACGTCGCTTCTTGCCATTGATGCAGCTGGCAACTTCTCCACTCATCTCTATTTTGAACTCCTCCCATCCATACAATTCCATGCAGCCATTCAAGCGGTTTTTCACTGCACTAGCTGCTTCTCTATGTCCTTTTGACATTGCATGGGTGCCGTTCAGTAATCCGCTTTGCCGTCTGCTGTCTCTCATTCTTGTTACGTAACCAGCCAGCTCTTGTTTCTGGTGTACGCTGTCTTGATAATATCGCTCCTCCAAATTGCAGCCGTGGGCTTCGTATGACTATGTTTCATTCTTTAGCTGTAAACATAGACAGAGCTTTGGGTGCAGGTGGAGCAGGAATCATCAGTACAGCCTCCTCTACTCCATGTATATTGAATATATATACTGACTAACTTATGCAGGAGAACTGAAAATGAGGGTTTTCACGTGTGCAGGACGTCCTCTCATAGTGGACACATTAATCTTCCTGGGTCCAAAGCGTGAAAGCTCTGTGATCGAAACCTTGGCTCATGCATTTCTTGAATTTTCCCGCATTCCGATGTTTGCAGGATCAATTCTACTTGCCAAGCATAAGTGATGATTGTGTGCGTGCCTCGGCAGACCGAGAAGAACTGCTGATTGACCTGTTTCACCGACTGAATGCTACTGGAAATGAGCCGAAAAATAACCGGACAATGGTGAATCCGGAACCAAATAGCAACGGCAGCAATCCGTGCGTTCAGTCCACCAGAACACCGCTGTTTCAGGGCGCCGATGCCAGTTACATATAGGTCTCTATCAATCATTCTATCAGTCCTGTTTTTTTGTTATTTGTGACAAAAGTTTTAACATGGATGGATGCATATTTCTTGTAAATTACGTATTTGTTTTTCAATCCTAGTTTTGGGCTGCGGTTTGTGGGTTTCAGTACCAGTAGTCCATCTGAGTTGTGTATGTGGAAAGATCAAATGGATTTACGCAATATCTCCTTTCCTCTTTTATCAATAGAGCTGTAACAAACGTTGACTTCCAATTCAGGTGAATAGGATAGGCGGATATTACGAAGGATATTACTGAGCTAAAACAAAATTAAATTGGTCATCGGTCAGAAACCTGTTTAGAATACCTTGCATAGAGAATGATGAAGGTGGCCAAAGGAGGCAGGTGAGGAGGAAAGAAAATGAGAACGAAGATCAGTTAAGGGTAAGCAGTTTTTAATTTTTTGCTGTCAAAATGATCACGGCCTTCACTCTGCGCTGTTTCGTACTGTAGAGAGAAAAGGAGGTAAGAGAACTACAGTAACTCACAAGCAATTGCTATAGTTGCACAATCAGAAGGAAATTCATCAACATCCATCACTTGAATTTTCAATCCCTGCTGAAACCATTGCTACTGCGCCATCATTATCCGTTAGGTGCACATGTAGTGTTCATTTTTATCGCTCTAGAAGAATTTCATTTTGTTTGTAAATTCCAATCTCAATCTATTTTCAGTGCTTTTCTATGTTCCTTTCATCGCATATCATTTAAATAGGTTAGATATGTTTTAATTTTCGCGAGGTAAAATATGTGGAGGAAAGAGTGCTATTGAAAACAATGGTACTAAGCACAGCATCGTCCCGATTTGATCTCAGGCTTGACAACTTCGGACATTAAGCAAGGCCGAATAGGTACTAACTGGAGATATGCAGTCCAGGATCGAATGCCTGGCGTAGCTGCGTCTACGTATGAGAGCATCCCAGCAACATTTTTAACATCGGATACCACACTGATGCCTACACTCTGTTGGTATTCTTGAAACGTGATAAAAGATCCGGAAATCCTGCAAACTTGGGCTTTTAATGCAGATTTCCGATATGTTTTCGTTCCACAAGCTAGCCTGCGCGTGTTTCATAGGAAAAATGATTTTTTTGAATGAAAATTCTGGAATCAGATCTAAAAATCCAAAAAATTGATCACCTAACCCCTTTTATTTCCTACGCAAATGGCTTTTGTTGGCGGACGGGCTTTTTTGGTAAAATTTGCTTTCTGAGAAGGAATACCACTAAGTTACATGGCTACGCAATTTATTTGCTTCTGTCCAATGGCTTCGATCCAACGGCTTCGACAATACCACTAACCCCGGTGCTCGAGGATACGTTTCGGCATACCACTAACATCGGATCCCCACGGGGATTGCCATACTTCAGATTTTTTTGAATCAGCCAAAAATCTGGTGTCAGTTTTTCATTCTAAAAAATGACCACTGGTCAGAAGCCATTAGGCAGAACGTAATAAATTACGCAGCTGCACAACTCACAGTCTGTCTTCTCAAAAAGCAGATTTTAGTATCATTATTAATGGAGGTTTCTCGAAGGGCATTAAAGCAGAGCACTTCTTTTTTCGTGGACCATTCTTTTTTGTTTGTCTGATGAAGCAAACAAAACGTTGCCGATCGTAGGGTTGTTCAATAAAGAATGTTATGATTGATGATTTCGAATCTGTTTAAGACCAATGTTTCATTTGAAATCTGGAAAACTGTTTTTTTTTTTTTTTTTTGTCAATTTCCTAGACTAATTTTTCTTGTTTTGCACTGACTTTTTTCTGATTATTCTTGTAAAGTTCAAAATTGTTTATTTTTGTGAAAAAGGTTCTGTATTTTTTCTTGGGCAATCAATTCTTCTGTGATTTGTTTATTCGTTTCAAGGATAAGTTTTGTACTAGCATATGCCAGGGAGTCAAAACCGCCAATAGCTTGCTTTTATAGAAGCAAACGACAACTTCACCAGCGTGTGGTTGCTGTAAGTACTTGCTACCACTCCTGCTTTACGCTTCAGTTGCTTCCGGCTCTCATAGCGTATGACGAGGGTTTTGCCTTTTGACTCTGTTTTCACGTCAAATTTGAAATTATTTGTTTAATTTCTTGTAAGGTTTTGATTCAAATGAGAACATATTTGTTTTGTGGAGCAAAGGGGAATTTTGTACACATTCAGATATTTATTACTATGACTGTATATATAATACTATGTGCAGTGTGTTCTATTCCTGTGCTATTACTTTTTTACTCTGTTTGATTATATTTTGTGAGATATCCGACGAGTAAACTTCATTTTAGCCCTTGAGAAAGTCTGCTTATCTTACTTCATACGGAATTTTTCATAGATTTTCAAAGTACCATCACAGGACAGTCGGACTTACTAGAGCAAACCAGGTTCTTCGAAAACCACACGCCAAACTTTAACTTTTTCCATAAATTTTGATAACATGAAAGTGTATTAGTACGGTCGTAATATCAAGCTTCTTGGCCTTATTCGAATATTTTGATTTCACTTTTTCACGAAAAAATAATAGTGCTTTTAACCGTTGTATTTTTATCGACTCTGAATTGCCTTTAGGATCATTAGACCTATATAAATTTTTCTATCACCATAACCGCATGCATCAGTTTTCTGGCCTTTTCTAAAAGAAAGAAGTTAAATTTTCATTTTCTTCACAAAATTTGGTAGTAATTTTTACGTTTTTGTAGTCGTTTTATCGAGGGGAGCGTGCAGAATTTGAATAGTATGGAGTTTATGGAAAGTTCTGAAGATATCCTTGACGACGGCTAGCAAGAAACGAAAATGCACCGTTTGTACTGTTTTTACCAATCGTCGAAAACACCAAGGTATTTTCGTATGGTAAGTGCAATTTATGGTGATCCAGGCAAAAGTTGCATTGTTTTGAACAGAAATACTTTCCAGTAGATGTTATTTTTTGCGAAAAATTTTCGTTTTTATCGTGAACAAACAGGAACCAGTATAAATTCGCCGAAAGTACTCCGATTTAACAGCTGAGTTTTTCCTTTACCTCTATCAAACTCACTTTTTATTTCATTATCTCATGCATGTTGCTCACCTTCCCAGCTAACCGGTGGGCCACACAAATTCATCACGAAGGCGGTGCGTAATAGCTGGAATTCAAATTGGAGGAGCGTTGAATAGTTGCTCCTGGCATACGCGAAGGCCAGTAACAACACTAAAACTGACAGTCCGAGCGATCTTGGTATTCCTGGTACTTTTTATTTTCAGATTTCTACGAAAATTGTGTCAATTTTCTATGAAATTATGTTCAGCGAATTGCTGTGTTCACTTTCGTGGCAATTTTGAGGTGTAAAAATAAATATTAAGACTTTAATGTTTCAAAAAATCCCACAGAAATTGTATGTTGTATAATTTTTAATATGAAACATAATATTGAACTAGAAATAGTCAGCTGCACAGAAACAATTTTTCTTAGCTGCAAACATTAAATAGGAAATTTGACAAAATTTTTGATAAAATTTGAAAAAATCTGAGCTTTCCAAAAATCTGAATTCTGAATCTAATGAATTCCTCATAATTAAAAAATCTGAACTTTCTGGTTTTATAGTATTATGCTGTGCATTATTAGTTAGTTATAAGGAAACAAGCGAAGAATGCGAAGGGGAGGGGAGAAGGGGGCGCAGGCAAAAAGAAAAAGCAGGGATGACGAGATAGACTGGAAAACTAGGGAAACGAAAAGCGATGATGCAATTCCAAACAAATATTGCGTTATCGCCGTTGCTTCATTCACCGGAAAAAAAGCGACGTATTTTTATTTGTGGATTAAACGATCCTGTCAGTTTTGGTTAGCCAGCAGCATCTGCTGCCTTCCTGCGTTTCACAGTTTAGTTTTCCTCCTCCATTCATTTTCCAGAATTTACCCTCGCCCGAATAGACTGGCCCTCAACCTCACACATCTGCGCTTCATTTATAACGTCACTTGCTGAATTTGTACAGTCCCCGCTTCAGCTTCTATTAGTTATTAACTTAGCATGAGAAATTCTCAAGTGAGAAAGTTTCACGATTTTTACATGCTATGCTACTAATAAAATTAACCAATCCCTCGCAGAATGCGGAATAATTGCGACTTTTTAATCAAAATTTAGCAAATCTATTTACTGACACTGATAATTTTTCAAAATGATCACAAGTTCCAGTAAAAACTGATTACTTAGTACAAATTTGATGTAGTATATTTAATGTAGTTTCAGTGCAATAAAACACAATAATACTTGCTTTGGTATAAGTCATATCAACAGAAAACATTAGTAATAGTAGTCATAGCAATAAATATATCTATGTAATAGTTTAAGGAAAACTGTGACAGAAGAAAGAAGAAAAAGACCTAGTAGAAAGCGTACCGGCTGCCACGAGGATGCGTTTTTTGCGCAGTTCCCCCCGCAGGTTTTTTTCGCCAGCGGCACGTTCTTCCTGG